TGTGTTCACTGTGAAACAGCCACAGTAGACTTTATATGCATTTATGGTGTAATTACTACATTTTCGTGCCAATGCATGTTCATATTTACCGCAAACAATGTGCTGTTACTTTAATTCAGTGCTTGCAGCGCAGCACAAATAGATCTCTGCACCGCTGCATACGCACCGCTCCTGAACACACTGCCGGGTGCAGTGTGAATGCTTTAATCCATTAACATGAGCCCAGAAAAAATACACACTGCAAATGGAGTAATGTGAACCTGGCATTATGTGTGTGCGCTGCGAGTGTGCATGAGCGCTCAGTCTCCAGCTGAATGGTTTAAACACTGGCAAGAATTAAAAAGAAATGCAATTTATAAACTTTAGTGACGATGCAACACTGCACTAATAGCGCTTATACACAGACGCGATGTGATTTGAAGCCATTTGCGTATTTTGAGAGAAAGAGAGAGCTCGTGCTGTTTATGAAATTATGCCTCACAGAAAGTTTTCAAATTAATTTATAAGTTATTTAATGAATAAATATGAAGTGTACCTCACATTCAGCATTATAATTATTTAACTCGCGCCGGACAGAGACTGAGATGAACCTCTCACGGCAGACGCGTCGGCTTGAGATCGGCTTTTATAGAGACCGCCGATCAAACATCCCAAAGCGATTATCGGCCGATAGCGATCGGTAGCCGATCAATCGGAGCACCCCTACTGTTCTGCAGTTATACATGTGCCACTATATGACATACAGTATTTAATTTTATTTGTGCACGTCTTAAAGTCTTATATTTGATACCGCGAGTTGGCAAATAATATAGCGGCACCTGTAATAACTTCTTAAACTGAAAATGTGTTAAGCGTTTTACCCTCTCAATAGCTTCTTTCTCCTGAGGTGTGACCTGGATGTAGTTCATGTGCCCGCCTCCTGCCTCGGACACACCCCCACTGCCTCCTTGCCCCGCCTCCTGCACCGGCTCATTAAGCATCTGGATGAACTGCTCCTGATGGCTGCTGATTTGCTGTGAAACAGGAAACAAAGATTAGTTTCTGATCTGCTAAGAGACAGGAAGGATGTTAACAGAAATCACTGCATCACACTGGAAAAAGAAGTCAAGAGCACCGCATTGATTGACTTCAAAAATCAGCATCTATTGTAATATAGCAGCATGCTATTTCACACACTCTAGAACAGCAGTTGTCTTGTGGGTTGCAGGTCTGTTCTGGTATTAAATGCATAAAAGCAGCAAACCATTTAATCTTGTACACATAGAACAGGAACATGAATGACAACACCAGATTTATTTATGCCTGCTCTGACCCACCTCAATCTGTGTAAAGACCCCTAAATGCCACTTTAGAGGGGCTTCTGTGCCACCTTCGCAGTGTAAATTTGGCATAAGTATCATTCAATATAGGGCTGGGCGATACGGCCAAAAAAATGAACACTTTTTTTCATATCAGTCGATATTGATAATCATCACGATGAATGTCAAATCTTTATTTCTTTCAAGTTTAAAGCCAGATTTTTGCTCCAAAGTGAAAGCTGTTCCTTAATTTTCCTTAAAATAAATATCTTAATAGAAAAATGTATTTCTTAGTTTCTGCATGTTCTAATGAGTGATATTGTTTCAAATCAAGAAACAGGTTTGTGTTGCCTGATAATATTAATAATACTTAATAATATGACTTTTGTCTCTTAGAAATGCACATTTGATAGTATCGCAATAGCTATTATCAGACCACCACACTGAATATGAAGAATATCAAACACTTCAGGAGTCTGCTGTCCACGGCAGTCCTTAAGATACCAGCACAATAACACACTCAGCAAAATATAATCCAATCGATACAATCCCAGAAAATATTGAGATATAATTTTTTTGTCAATATCGCACACCCCTATCACCAATGTAAAAAGGTACCTGCAGGAGCTGTGGGTTCTCTCTGCCGATCTGCTGTAGTAGAGCTGGTAAGAGAGATGGGTTCTGCTGGATGATCTGTCTCATCTGCAGGAACTGCGGCTGGTTCCTCAGGAACTCCAGAGGATTCGCTGCACACACAGGACCAGTGTTGGGGAAACTTACTTTTAAAAGTAATGCATTACACAATTAGGGCTGGTCGATATAGCTAAAAAAATGTATCAACGATATAATGTTTCATATCGTTCGGTATTGATAATTATTGACATTTTTTATAAGCAACAGAAAAAAAGTTTAAATGTAACCACTGTATTTATAATTAATACAATTTATTGAGACAAACAACAAATATTTGTTGTTTTAACAATCAAACACAATAAAAAAAAATATCTCATTTCTAATGTTTTATATGCATGTCTTTATTGTATAGGTCTAATTGTCTCCCGAGGCCACAGCAGGGCGCAATGAGCAAAATTGTCAACGCAAGGAAGTAACTCTATAAAAACGTGCATTACGTCTACATTAACTCATATAAATCAAATATAATTTCGTAAATTGCATAAACAATTATGAACAAAACAGCATCATGTATTTATGCATTGCTTAATACAAAGAGCCGAAGCGCCATTCACACAGACTGCATTTAAAAACATACAAGACGCAGTGAAAAGGAATAAACCTCCACAAATTCGTGACGTGTTTTCTACAAGTTTTAACCGTTTTAACTTTGCATGGCTTTCTATACATCTCTTGTGTGAGACACGAGTGCAGCAGTCGTATTTGTCCGTCTAGAAAATGTGCTGAATATGCGTTCTGTGTGAATGGCTTGGTTTCGGTTTTAACCTAACCCAAGATCTTCTCCGCATTGAGCTTCTATATTGCTCTAATATTTTGAATGAATAATGCAGCAGCGGCGAGTCTCGTGGGCTAGACTAACAAAACATTAAAATGCAACAACGTCATCATCATCACAGCATCTCACGCGCCACTGATGACGCTCCGTGACGCACACGTAACATTTAAATGCAAATGTTTATTTTACATTCGACTAATATTCATTCTTTATTCACAATCTCCTCATCACAGGCAGGCACAGCACTCATTACAGTATGTGTTTGTGTGTGCTGTCTGCGTCACTCATACTACGTGCCTATATCCAGCGCTATATCGAACATTTTTCTATCGATATCGAAGAAGGTGTACCGTCGATAAATATCGATACTGTTTTATCGCCCAGGCCTAATTACAATATTGCGTTACTTCCTAAAAAAGTAACTAATCACGTTACTTAGTTACTTTTTATTGAAAGTAATGCGTTACGTTACTTTTGCGTTAGTTTTTAAATCTGGGCAGGGCTTGCTTGTTTGCTTTTAATATAAAAAGTTCTACTTTTGGCAAATATAAAAGCCCTTTCACACCAAAAGCCTCAGGCTGAAGGAAATGTAAATCACGTCTGTACAGTATACACAGAAGAAGAAAGTTCAACACTCTTCTGCAATAAAAAAGAAGAAGAAATGTTAGTTTATCATGTGTAATTTTTGCTTAGTACGGTTGAATTGGATCATCGAAGGTCAGCAGCAAATTGGTTAATAAAATGGGATTGAATACATAAAGGATATTTGTATTATTTAACATTTAATTATTGCAGCTTTGTGACATATTCTGAGTTGCTTTTAACTGTTTTTATTAATTTTGAAGAAAACTAAATCTGTTTTGTTTTGTGAGTGAGTGAGATGAATTAAAGCATGTTCACATTTATTCTAGAACTAAAGTAACATCTTACTCCCGATTTCTCTCAACATGGGGACAGGAGAGCTTTCAATCAATAAATGGGAAACAAAGTAACTGGAGTTACTTATTTGAAAAAGTAACTCAGATATTTTCTTGTAAATTAAAAAGTAATGAGTTACTTTACTAGTTACTTGAAAAAAGTAATCTGATTACGTAACTCGCTTTACCAGTTACCAAAACTGCACAGGACAGAGTCAGAGAAATGGGCTTTCGCATGGTAAAGCCGATGGTCGGCTAGCAAATGAGTCCGTCCCCAAGAATTAAAGCGAAAGTGATGAAAACTAGTAAGTAAATGAAGGCGGCACAGACAGAAGGCGGTTCTAATGTTACGTGATCTTTCCCAAGCATTCCAATAAAGGCTGTGCGATGTTTCCGATTTTATCCATTAATTCGAGTTTTATTTTTTAGAAATCGAGGAATCGCGATTTTAATCGTGACACAAATTAGACACTTTTACAAAATGCCGGTGATAACAGAATGCACTTTTGTTTTGTGTTGTGCTGAGTAGTAGTAGTATATTTTTTATTTAATGCCATGTCAGCATCTTAGGCTATTTTCATTGCAAAAACAATTCAAGTATAACAAATACAATAAAAACCAGCAAGCAAACAAACACAAGTTATATTACACAAGATTTTTTACATTAACGTGTGATCAAAATTCTAAAACTTTTCTGGCAAAATTATACTAAATAACTCAAGTGAGTTCATTTCATAAAAGAGTTTTCTACATACATTAAAAGCGGGACAGTCCAATAAAACATGCATTGAGTAGGGTCTTCCGCTTTTGTGTTGATAAAGATGCGACGCGGGCAGTGGAATAGTAAAAACATGCAAGAAGATGAGAGTGAGCTTCTTTTAACTTGAGCGGCGTGTTTATGAAAGCTGTTTCATGCATGAGACGCTGCAAGAGATGCTAGCGCAGCAGTCAAACGCGTCCATGTTTACACAGAAAAAACTATGGAAAAGCAGCGCAAGCGAATAAAAAACCTGTAACTACTACTGTATGTCTGATATTTCATGTTTGCATCATTGTGACAGGCTGACAGCTGCTATTCATTACAGAACATTTATAGTAATTAATAGTCTACTGGTGTTATACCTTCAGTCATTCTGAATTTGAATTACCTTGACTTTGAATTTTTTTAAAGCATTTTCCTTGTATTATTTCGGTACGTTTGTACAAGATACACAAGATAAGACAAGTTTGTACAATTAGTTGCAGTTCATGCATCTTTTCTGCAAAAATATTTAACAAGATTGTTATTTACATTATGTTGACAACTTCATGTGGTGCACTGGGAATAGAATTTTCTTAACAAAGAAACAATGTTAACCAAGAAAATGTTACTTGAACCAT